GTGACACATCAAGTCCAACAGCAAACAGGTTTTTAGCTGCAGACACTTTTATAGCATATCCTGTGTTCCTGGACATGCTGCTCTTGAAATAAATTAAAAAGGATAAAGCAGCAGAGAAGCTAACATGCCAGTAACACCCCTCCATTTCTGGCTTCATGCTGCTTAGCCCCTGCTGTTGTATTCCAAATAGACAGGTTCTTAGTATTCACTGGCAGCAAACACAGGTTTTTAGCTGCAGACACTTTTACAGCATATCCTGTGTTCCTGGCCATGCTGCTCTTGAAATAAAGGATAAAGCAGCAGAGAAGCTAACATGCCAGTAACACCCCTCCATTTCTGGCTTCATGCTGCTTAGCCCCTGCTGTTGTATTCCAAATAGACAGGTTCTTAGTATTCACTGGATTTACCCAGTTTATGCAGTTTGAGTGAGCATCTTCCAGAAGTAGAGACATCCCAGTAAATTAACCAGTCATTTCCTCCAACTCAGGCTAAAAGAAGAGATCATCTCAGGTTGTTTTTGACCAGCTATCACATTTAAAGTTGTTGTTCCCCAGTCCCCATCTTTACCAACAAATACTTCAGTAGAGATAGGAGCAGTTCAATTTCAATTCCAAAATGAGACTGAGGTGTTCAGGAGGAGCAGGCTTGTTTCTGCTATAGGAGCCCGAGTTTGTGGGCCCCCTCTGGCACTGCCCTCCATGTCTCTGATGTGCAAATGCAAAGTGAATCAATTCCTTCATGTGGAAGAAGTCACACTCCCAACACACAAACATCACTACATTATTAGCCTTCCAAAAATATAAGGATGCTCCCAGTATTTAATTACAGTTAAGCACTGATATACTTTAAATATTTCCTCTGACTGGTCAGTCCAGAGAGGATTCCTTATCCAAACCTGTTGTGTAACCAGCAAAGCCCTCTCAAGGGGAAACAACTGTCTCATATTGATATTTACATGCATATGATAGCAAGAAATGCTCCCTGTTTTCCTCAAAACAAGTAGTATCTTTTTTATTTCCATATTGCAAGTCCAAGGGTCCTTACAGGAAGGAAGCCAGTGACAGCCCAATGGGCTGACTACCTACAGGTTTCACCAAGATCTGTTTTTTTGAGAACAGAAGGCTTCAGTGCAAGACAGAGCTTATACAAAACATGACATGCCAAGTAAGTGCCTCCAGTCCTTTTAGAATTGCAAGCAACAAGCTCAGTGGGTCTTAAAGCACACTTCCCTGCCAGTGAAATCTGTTTAAAACATGTCACTTTTCCCAT